GCCTCTACAACCCGAGCAGGCGAATAATCCTCATCCTGCCGCTTTTTAGGGTATTTTTAGTGGGTTTGGGGGTGCCTCATTAACGATAATTAATATTTTTCTGTTTGTTTTTTTTTTTCCCCCCCCCTCCCTCAGAATCCGCCTGGACGAAGGAACAAATATTTCTGTGGCCCCAAACCCGGGGGAGGGGGAACACGAAGCCGGAGAGATTTTTCTGCATAAAACAAAGATGGCTGCGGTAAATTATTTCTTTTTTTTTTTTCTTCTTCTTCTTTCTTCTTATTCTTTTCCCCTCCTCACTCCCATAAAAATATTTCGGGGGGGGGGGGGAAGGATTAATCAGTACTCATGCTCAGTGTGACATCAGCATAAATTGTTAAAGGTTAACTAGTTCCATACTCGTCACGCTTCCCTTTTTTTTTATATATTAAAAAAAAATATATATTATTATTATTTTAAAGGTTTAATTCTGGTTTTTTTCGCCCATTCTCGGTGATTTTAAACCCGCGCTTTTTTTTTTTTTTTTTTTAAATATAATTAAAATTAAAATGCGGTTTTTAAATGGGTTTTTTTTTTTTGTTGTTGTTGTTTTCTCCCTCCCTCCTCGACTTTGAAATACTTGGGAAGGGAGTGGTTTGGTGGGTTGGGCTTTTTTGGGTTTTTTTTTATTATTTTTGGGGTTTTTATTCTTCTTTCTTTTCTTTTTTTGGAGTTTCTTTAAGGCTGCAGGGAGGAAAAAAACCAAAAAAAAAATAAAAATAAAAGGGGGGGTTATGAGGATTAAATAAATATAAATATAAATGTTGAGGAAGTGGTTGGAAAAATGGGTTAAAAAAGGGTGGGAAAGGGGGGAGGTTGAAAAGGAATAAAAAAAGATTGAAAAGGGATGAAAAAGATTGAAAATGAATTTAAAAAAGGTTGAAAAGGGATAAAAAAGATTGAAAATGAATTAAAAAAAAAAGGTTGGAAAAGAATTAAGAAAAGGTTGGAAAAGAATTTTAAAAAAGATTGAAAAGGGATAAAAAAGATTGAAAATTAATTTTAAAAAAAGGTTGAAAAGGGATAAAAAAGATGGAAAAAGAATTTAAAAAATGAAAATAAAATGAAATTAAAAAGGGGAAAATACTGGAAAGGGGAAAATATTGGAAAGGGGGAAAGATTAAAAAGGGGGAAAATTAAAAAGGGGGAAAGATGAAAAAGGAAAATATTGGAAAAGTAAAAAGGTGGAAAAAGGAAAAAAAAAGGGAAAAAGTTAAAAAGGGGGAAAAAATTGGAAAAGGGAAAAAAAGGGAAAAAAGGGAAAAGGGCAAAAATTGAAAAGGAATTTATAAAATATTGGAAAAGGGTTTTAAAAGGTGAAAGGAAATTTTTGAGAAATGGTTAAAAAATAAAAAAAGGTTGAAAGAAGAAAATGTTTTTATTTAAAAGGATTGGAAAAAGGACGAGGATGGAAAAAAGATGGGAAAAGGTAAAAAAAATGGGAAAAGGGGAAAAATTATAAAAATTTTGAAGAATTTAAAAAGAAAAAAAAGAGGAAGGAAATGGGAAAATATTTTAAATGGGTGAAAGTTTAAAAAATGTTCAAATTGAGAAAAATATTTAGGAAAAAAATATGAAAAAGTGGAGAAATGTTAAAAATGAAACTTTTAAGAGGGGAAAAAGGGATGAAAAGGGAGAAAAGATTTTAAAAATATTCAAAAATGGGGGAAAAGATTGAAAGATTTAAAAAAAAAGGGGAAAAAAAGGAAAAAATATTAAAAGGGGGGAGATAAAAATGGATAAAATTCAAAAGGGGAAAAATATTTCAAAATGGGTAAAAATCAAAAATGGGGGAAAAAATTCATGAAGAGTTAAAGAGGTGGGAAAAAAATTAATAAAGAGAAGGAAATGTTAAAGAAAAGGAGAAAAAAGATTGAGAAAGGTGAAAAATGAATAAAAGGGAAGGGAAAAAAAAAGATTAAAAAATTAAAAAATATTGGGAAAAAGGGGAAAAATTAAAAAAGAGAAAATAAAATCTTAAAAAGAGGAGAAAAAAAATGTTTAAATCCCCCCAAACCCAGCCCCAAAAAAAAACCCAGAGGTGAAATTTGTCATCAATTAAGTTTTTTAGGCACTGAAATTGCCCAAAATGCTCCAAAATCACCCCAAAAACCTCAGGCCTTTCCTGTCCCTCCCCTCCTCGTTGAGTTTTCCTGCGTTTTTTTAATTTCCTGTTCCTTTTTAGGGCCTTTTTTACCCCAAAATGATGGAAAATTGGGGAAAAACCGCTCAGAGTTTGGGGGTTTTAAGTTATTTGAGGTTTTTTTTACCCAAAAGTTGTTCCTGGTTGTTGTCAGTGAGCCCAAATTTCACCCAAAAGCTTCGTGTGAGGCCACGAGAATCCCAAAATTCCCCCAAATTCCACCAAAATCTCACCCAAAATGTTCTCAAAACTTCATGTGAGGCCACGAGAATCCCAAAATTCCCCCAAATTCCACCAAAATTTCCCCCAAGTTCCCCCAAGTTCCTCCCAAATCCTCCCAAAACCCTCCTGTGACACCTCAAAAAACCTAAAATTCCCACAAATGTCCCCAAAACCCTCCTGTGACACCTCAAGAACCCCAAATTCCCCCCCAAATCCCCCCCAAATTCCCAAAAATTCCTCCCAAATCCTCCCAAAACCCTCCTGTGACACCTCAAAAACCCCAAATTTCCCCAAATTCCCCCCAAATCTTCACAAATCTCCTCAAAACTCTCATGTGACACCTCAAAAACCCCAAATTTCCCCAAATTCCCCCAAATTTCCCCAAATTTCCCCAAATTCCCCCCAAATGTCACCAAAACTTTCATGTCACACCTCAAGAACCCCCAAATCCTCCAAATTCCTCCCAAATTCCCCAAAATTCCTCGCAAATCTCCTCAAAACTCTCATGGG